AGCACCAGGGGAGACGAGAGGTGCGGCAGACACACACAGAGGGGCACACCACATGAGGAGAGGGCAGCAGCCAGGCATGCACCGTACGCCGCACACACAGCCCTGCCGCAACACCACACCACAGATGGAAGAGAGAGAAGCAACCAGGAGCGGCACACAAGGCTCCACCGCATGCAAATACGGCGAGAGCGGTCCGTCGTGTCTGCACTCCTCACGGAGGCGCAGCACACAAAGCAACAAGAGAAAAGCAAAGTAACAATAATAAAAATAAGCAAAGTAAAAATAATAAAAAGAATAATCTCTGCACACCGCGTGAATTCGTTTTCCACGGGAAGTGCAGCCAATATTCATCAGAAGAACAATCTATTTTCCACTAGCCTTCTCTCCCCTCCAGCACACACCATTTCATGCAGGCCCGGCCACCATCGCAGCCGCGGCTGCACAATTGACACGAAGATGCCAAAGATTAGAGTTGTTGTGGAAGCCCGCGGTGCTACTGTCACAGTCCGCAGTGGGCCGCTCCTCCCCATCATCTCGTCATATCCCCGGCGGTGCTGCAGAGCGGGTGCAGCGGCAATACACCCAATGGTGCAGTACATCAGCAGTAACACCAGCAATGGGAGTGGCGGCGTGGCATGGCGAGGCTGGCGCATGGCTTGAGGTAAATGAATTTCTTGGTTTCGTGTGAGCAGCAGCAGTAGCAGTGCAGCGTGGCTGTGGGAGGCGGGAGGCAAAGGAAAAAGAGAAAGAGAAAGAGAAAGAAATAAAACGATTTATTGCCAGTGGTGCGTCAGGATGCGACACGCGCAGCGGAGTAACAGGAGACCACAGAGGTGGCCATACACACCGCATGCGCCCCGACTCCATCAATGGGAGAAACCGTCAACCCGTCGTCGACTGAGCGTCCATCACCGTCGCACACATTCCTTATCGGCCGCAACGCTCCCTGCACGCGGAGTGTTTCGTCTGCTTCCCTCGTGGTGTTGCAGTGTTTGTGTGACCGTCCACCAACCTGCCACCACTTGCACAGCGTCAGTTCCAGGTGCAGGAGCATCGCACAGCGCTCTCTCCTTCTCTCCCAGCTGCTCATATCATATGGCATCACCGCACGGCAGCCTCATCGTGATGCGCAGCCCTGAAGCGGGGGTGCAAAGCGTCGTGTGTGCAAATATATTTTTACCGTTTCTCAGGATGCTCAAAAACAAGCGTGACGGCATTGCAATTGTCATGACTGTTTCTCCCCGCACTGCCACTGACCGGGAGACTACTGTGAACGCACTGCTTTGAAGTCACCATTTCCGCCGTTGCTCTCTTCAGCGGCCCACGAACACACCGGCCGTTCCAACACGGTGGATATGAGCGTTGCCAAATACAGCCACAAGCACCAACACACCAGCCCCCACAGTGCCCTCCGTGACCATCCGCAGCGTGCGTGCGTTCTAAGACTTCACACCACTCCACAGCGTCTGCGTTATGCCTTGTGTGCATGTGCTTGTATGTTTGTTAGCACCCATACTTGCAGAGCAGCTGTGCGGCACAAGAGAGTCCAAAGAAACAACGACAAAGCAGCGGATAGCACACACGCAAATCACTCATATCATCACACACACACACACACACGCAGCCCGCGGAATGGGTGCTCTCAACCACAAAACAATGAAAAACAAAACAAAAAGCCGAAGCGTGGGACGACCAGCGCACACACTCTCATTGCTCCCGTAAAGCAAAACACACACACAGGGAGAGAGAGAGAGAGGTCGCCCACTCAATGCAATAAAAACAAAACAAAACAGTTACGGTGCTCCGCCCATGCAGCCAGGCAGGACGGCAGCGGTGCGTGTCGTGCAAAAGAGAGCACCAACGGGCCTGCATGGGTGTGCATGCAATATATACAATGGGCACATTATGTGTGTGCTTCGTGGGGTGAGGTGAGGGCGAGAGTCCATGCAAGGGGACACACACAGAGAGTGAGTGAAAAACGAGTGTGTGTGCGGGCGGTGCATGGCTCTCTCTCACTCACTCTCACGCGGCCATCACCGCAGCAGCAGCCGCACACGCAACAACAAGAAGAAGCAAAAGAGGGGAGGTGGTGTGGGAGACCGCGGTGCCGCAGTCACTGTCGCCAGGCTTCGCCGTGTCACCTGTTTTCGCGTTTGTGGTTTGCGCTGTTGTGGATCCTGTACTCTGAGAGACCGTATCATATTTGTTGGCTGATACAGTTTCACCATCGGAATTCGTTTCGGGTGGTGTGGCGCCTTCAGTGGAGGGTCGGTTCAGATGGTTGGTGGTTGGAGTGCCTTCCGTGCCAGCATCAGACCGTAAAGCTGTAATTGTCGCGGTGCTGCTGTTGCTGTCGCCAGAAATGGTTGTGCCAATTGTGTTGCGGGTGTTAGCTGCTGGTATTGTTGGCTTCTCACTGCCAGCAACAGTTTCATGTTGTGCTCCTTCTTTCACCACTACCCAACCAGATGGTTGGTTATTGTTGAAAATTTCCTCCGCATCGCGTCCTTCCCCTGGAGTATAAGTCGGATCAATTCCACTTTGGGAGGACGATGAAGAATGTGTTTGTTGTTGACTGACAGTTGGTGAATCTTGCGTGACACCTGCGCTGGACGCGGCTTTCTCCTCCGGTGAGTCCTCTTTTGGGTCCGCCTTAGGTGGTGTTTCTCGTCCCACTGCTGGCGTTAATGCCACTGTTGATGTTGCCTTTCTCACTGTGCCTTCCTGCTCCTTCAACCCTCGGTCTGCTGCTGGTGGATGGCTGTCGTTCGTGGAAGATCTACCCAATTGTGCATCCTTCACGGTGGTTTTTACTTCATCACCCTCCGCAGTTGCACCACCACCATTTCCTAATTCGGTTTTTGCGTTGGGCAACTGTTCAGGCGCATTATGATGGCTTTTCCCTGTTGTTCCCGCTTCGGGCTGATGTGAAACTTTGGGCACTAATTCTTGCTGACCCTGCATTCCTCCACGGCCTTCTTCTGCAGGAGTTAAGGCATCCTTAGAGCTTTTTAAACCCACACCCTCAACAACACCAGTAAGTGAAGTTTTGCCACCATTAGGAGCAAAGCCCGGAGAGTGACTTCCACTGCCCTGAAAATTTCCATCAGTTACAACTCCATTATCCCCATGACCCACAACCGAGGAAGAAGAATGACTAAAAATCCCAACATCACCTTGGCCGGAATGCTCAAGATCATTTCCAGTATCACCATTGGCCACCGAAACGCCGCACCACAGCACGCAGAGGGCACACACCAGCAGCACACGGCCAGTCATCATCATCGCCATCACTCCTGTCACTTGCGTGTAGCCTTCAGCACAAACTAACAACACGTCAACGCAGAGTGAAAGCAAAAGGAGAAACAATTCACACAGCCACGCACCGTCCCATCCAGCAATGAGAGTCACGCACCAAAACAACAACAATTGGGTGGGCGCCGTTCAACAACAATCAAAAGAAAAAAGAGGAGCGCTCCTCGCCCGTGCACCGTTCCTCACACTCCCACAGTCACCATTGCTGTTGTTCTCTTTCCTCAGACCCTCCAGCACAGGCCTCGGGATCGTCGGGTCCTCACGGCACAGGCAGTCCGTCATGCGCTCCCGCTGCGCCGCAACGTACGCCACCTCCTCTCCCAGTCAAACAGCTCCGTGTCCTCCACGCTCCTCACAATCGCCGGCATGCCCCGGCCGCGCAACACCCACAGCGCCACAATGTCGTGCCGCCCCTCCTCCACAATCATGAGCACAACGCCCAACGCGTACTGGCCCACGTGCTCCATGCACTGGAAACACACGCGGATCAGGTTGGCCGTCATGCACTGCAGCTTGTTGTCCTCGTTTTACTTGTGGCACCACAAATTCGTGTAGCCGGCGGCATCGCAGTGCTGGAAGAAGTACGGCGCAGCAACCCTGCGGGTGTCCGTGTGGCTGTAATCGACCTTCAACGGTTCCAGCACCGACAGAGAGACAAGGAAGTGTGTGTGTGGATGTGTGCCTAGAACACAGCGACTGTCACCGCCAGAGGAGGCCATCGTGGCACCTTCCGTCACGCGTCAGCACACACCGAGCAACGCAGGCACCCGGCAGTGCAAAAACAACAAGGAGAAAAGAATGACCCCAAGAGCAGGCAACACCTCCACGCATGGCGGGCATCGTGCAGCCGCGTCAGCCGGCCACAAACTCAATGCAAAAGACGTCCCACACACATCCATCCAATGGCACCGTGATTCCCACCGCAGACACACAAAGCAAAGAAGTAAAAACAGGAGCAGAGCATGTGAAGGGACGCACAAACAAAAACAGTACAGCAGAGGTGCATGGCAGAAATAAAAAGACTGCTCAGGCTCACAATATTGCACTGCAGACAAAGCAGCGGCAATTCATAAAAAAATTTAATAAAAATAAATTTAAAAAAATTCATCTTCACCTTTCCACACCCCACAATTTGGGAAAGAAGTAAAAAAGAAAGAAATAAATGAAAAAAATGAAAAAAGAAAAAAAAAGTCGTCCTTTATTACGGCTACACCCAAATAATAAAAAAGAAAAAAAGAAAAAGAAAAAACACACACAAAAAAAGCAACCAACTACAATGTTGCTCCAGAAATCGTCTGCATATTTTGTCCGAAAATAAATTAAAAAGATATTTAAATGTCTTTCAACCGTCCGACCCTCCATGTGTCCGCACATCGTTTATATTTCATGGGGTCATCTGCGTGTTGCTGCTCCCCTCAGCCCTTTCATCGGCGCGTGAGTGCGGCCCGCAGAGCTCAGTCACTCGTGTGTGTGTGGGGACTGAGAGAAGCACGCAGACATGACGGGAGTCGCGTCACTCCATCGGGAGAGCGAGCGCAGCAAAAGAAAAAGGAAAATCATCGGAGGGGAGAGAAATGCTCGCGAG